CTTCAGAGAATTTCGAAATGATCCTTATATTTAAATCTATGGTGGGCAGGGCCGTAGCAGGGACAACTAGTTAGGGGTAGGAAAAACATTTAGAATTTAGCGTTAAGTCCACCAACGTGGTTGGCTGCAATAACATTTAATATTTTCTGTTTGTTTGTACATTTTTATTTTTATATTTGAATTTATTTTATTGGATTCATCACAATTCCAACTGTCCTGGGTAAGACGATAAACTATGTCCAGCAGCAAGGCCTCTGATCAGAAGGTTTTGAGGAACGTGTTCCCAGGTCCACCCTGAGCCGGGGTGGTAGCCCCTGTTAGTGTCCCAGCTACGGACACCCAAACTTGTGTAAAAATAGATTTTAATACAAGAAATACTTTGTAATAAAAAAAAATTATTACCAGCAATAATTTTTGAAGGAAAAATTATAATCAGCAATACTTTAAGAAAAAAATACCAGCAATACAAACAGCTATACATTCTTTGAAAAAAATATGACCAGCTGTAAATTTCTTCAAGGAAAGATATTTCCAGAAACAGATTTTTGAAGAAAAACATATTAACAGCAATAAAGATTTTGTCGGCATTAAATAATCCATTGACGTTGATATGCCGTAAAACAAAACAAACCAAACCACAAATCCAAATTAAAATAAAAACGCACTTACGCGATAAAGGGAGATTACAATCATCGTATACCTCTTAAAGAAGGATTCTTTCATTAGTGTTTTATGAATTTTATATTCTTCCTTGCGTTGATAGTTTTTTCTTTATTGTATTTCTTTCTTTATTGTATTTTGTTAAAATAAAACCCTGTAAAAAAACTACAATTGGTAAAAATTTTGTAAGATTTGAGACCCTGCGCCCGGATGCTACGGCCCTGACAACATAGTTGTTAGTTCCAACCCAAGCAGAAATGACTGTAAAAACATCCCTTTCCACAAATTTATAAACAAAACATACAGATGCATGCTGGGATTTCATCCGAGCCAATAAGCAACTTCTCCATCTCATCCGCCATATTTCTTTCTTTTCTCATTGCAAATTTTGTCATCTCTATTTTGTTGGTGATTTCTTTAAATTACAATTAACCATGGCCAGTTACTTTACAATTTTATTAAGCATTGTTTTAATTCTCTTAAATAAGAATAGGGATTAATTTCTGACCATCCTTGTAAACGATAAAAAAGAGGAAGACTATCTCGAAGAATAGTATTGAAAGTTTTGTTCTTATTTTGTACTTTTAATATTAAATCAGTTAAAATTAATAAAAGAACAAATTTTTTGAGCGACTGTCATCCCAGACTTGAGAAAGTGGAGGTTATATTCAGGACTATATTTAGGATCCTGACATTTTGTATTTATTTTGGCAAGATTTATATGCTTCCATTGTTAAATTTGTTGTTTTCATTAAGAACAGACGTTAATTTTTATCGACCCTCATGTCACAATTATGAAAGAAGGAATCTATTTTGAGGACTAGATTTAGAATCTTACGATTTTTGCTTTCATTTTCATTAATTTCGCTTCTAGTATCAAAATCTTTGTGTTAAAGAAAGTCAGTCATTATATTATGATCGACGTTCGTTCCATAGATTGCGAAGGAAGATTACGATTAGGAGTAAATTTGGACTCTCTCTGTTCATTTTGGTAAAGCTTTGTTCGCTCTTCCTTGAATACTCAATACACCGAAGAAAAAAAAAAACCTGGAAATTTTTGCATAAAAGATTTAAGGAAAGAAAAAGAAAAAAAGAAAAGACATGGTGTTTAACAACGTTCAACAACATTTCAACAGTATGTTTGTCTTCAAGTTTTGTTTAAAAACTGTATACTCACGGAAAATTCCAAGATGAGCACGATCGTAGCATATACATTCTTTGAAAAAAATATGACCAGCTATAGATTTCTTCAAGGAAAAATATTCCCAGAAATATATTTGATATTGAAGAGATTACGAACTTCACTGGATTTACGCACATTTCAGTTGCATGCCATTCATATTGACTGTTTTTTATTCGTTTTGACGCGTTGGTTACCAGTACAACCGTTTCCTCAAGGAAAGCGACGTTTGTACCAACCATTTTTCCTTTTAATCCCTTCGGCCCAAGCAAGGCGGTAATACCAGTAGTATGCAGAGGGTATTTATTCTGAACAATACAGAACTGTGGCAGGCAAAAGGTCAAGGGGGAAATGGGGTGGGTACGGTCTTCATTAGCTATCCTAGTCATAGTTTATCCGACTCCTGAAACATTCATTCATAACAATTTACCCATTCACCACAAGAACTCATCCATCACCTCTCATGTTACAGTTTTTTGGATACATGTGTGTACTAGTGAGCCAGTCAAAATGAGCTGACTCATTTTATAGTCCACCAAGAGAAGAGTTAACCAATCAGAAAGCTCAAAATATTCAATGCGACGTGTATAAAGGCAGCCATTTTGTTTTTTTCTCCCAAAATATCTTCATTGCCAACCTGATATCGAAGACTTAAAGAATTTACAGGCTACTTTCTCCGAATCTCCACTGCCAACCTCTGATATCGAAGAGATTACGGACTTCACTGGATTCCATATTCAAAGACTATGGCAAACATGGTCAACATCTCAATTCTCCATATACCACAATAGCACATATTTACAGGGCACCTACAAAACACCCCATGGCACAAAAATTTCTAAATTGCACGATTCATGAAATGATCGGGGAGGGGAGATGAACGCAGAAAACAAACTCAATAGATAAAGTGAAAGAGATGACTGAGAATAGGTAGGATTGAGAAAAGGACGAAAAGTGAACGGGATTCAAGAAGACAAAAGATGGTGATTGATGTTGCATTTAAATTTTTAAAGATTGTAATTATCAGAAAGCAAGTAAGTACAAAGGAGTTCCACAGGCGGGAAGTGCGAGAAAAGAGACTGTGGGACTAGAAATGGCGATTGCATTTTGATAGTTCAACAGTAAAACGGTGGGACCTAGATGCCAACCTAGTAGCGCGTTTAAATTCAGGTAGTCGGAGGATCAGGAACAAAAGCTTGTCAGAGCAGTTGCCATGACAATATTTGTAGAAAAGAGAGAGGGAAGCCACATCACGTCGGTGAGAAAGTGACTGAAGTCGAGATACCAATTCAGGATCAATTACATTGAAGATGCCTTCTTTTGTATTTTGTCAAGAATCTCTAGATGAACAGTAGGAGTACCTGACCAGATATGGCTAGAGTATTAAATACATAGATGAAAAGATGATTTTGTAAATGTGTAATATGGAGTCTGACGAGATAAACCTGCAAAATGTGGCTGGTTAACGAACATTATTGATGCGAAAAGCGAATCGAATGCAACAAACAAAAATCAAAGACCGTCGAGTCGGAAGGGCGATTGGACAGATTCTATGGAGGTTTAGTTGGGTCGATTTATTGCCGTATAAATCACCGGCCACAAAAGAGGACAGGTGTGAATAAATGATTAAATTCATGTAGTCGGAGCACTAGTGATGAAAGATTATCAAAGCAGTTACCATGAAAATATTTGTAGAAAAGACGAGATGCTAGTTCATGATCGATTACATTACAAATCATTCTTTTGTATTTTCTCAAGAACCTCCAGATGAACAGCAGGGGTACCTGACCAGATATGGCTGGAGTATTTAATGAAAGGACGTATGGTGGATTTTGTAAATGTGCAATATGGATTCTGACGAGATAAACCCGAAAAAATGTGGCTGGTTAAAGAATATTATTAATGCAAAAAGCGAGTCGAACGCAACAAAAAAAATCAAAGACCGTCAAGTCGGAAGGGCTATTGGACAGATTCTATGGAGGTTTATTTGGGTCGTTTTATTATCGCATAGATCACCGGCCACAAAAGAGGGCAAGCGTAAATAAATGATTAAATTCATGTAGCCGGGGCCCCAGGGAAGAAAGATCGTTAGATAATTTGCCATGAAAATATTTGTAGAAAAGAAAGCCGCACCATGTCGGTGAGAAAGTGACTGAAGTCGAGATGCCAGGTCAGGATCGATTACATTGCAGATCTTTCTTAGGATTTTATCCAGAACCTCGAGGTAAATAGCAGAATCACAAGACCAATGGGTGAAGAGATAAACTCAGGAGGTTACAAGGAGTGAAAGTGAGAGAAAAGAATGAGTATTGGGTGGGGGGGGGTGAGGAAAGGACAAAAGATGAAAAGGATTAAAAAAGAGAAGATTAACGTTGCATTTAAATTTTTGAAGATTGTTGTTATCACGGAAGCATGTAAACGGAAGGGAGTTTCACAGGTTGGAGGTGCGAGAAATGGAACTGTTGGAGTAGAAGTGGGGGTTGTATTTAGCTATTTCAAGTCAACAGGTGCGACCTAGATGCCAATCTAGTTGGACGCTGAAATTCACGTAGTCGGAGCACCAGCGAAGAAAGCTCGTCAGAGCAGTTGCCACGAAAATATTTGTAGAAAAGACAGAGGAAAGCCACGTCATATCGGTGAGAAAGTGACTGAAGCCGAGATGCCATGTCAGGACCGATTATATTGCAGATCCTTCTTTGGATTTTGTCATGAATAACAAGATGTAGGGAAGGAGCACAAGACCAGATAAGGCAACCGTATTCAATACTCGGACGAATTGTAGATTTGTATATATGCAAGATGGATTCAGACAAGATACATTTTCTAGTACGACACAGTGACCCAAAATTTGTTGCAGCAAATGCAGGTATTGATTCGATGTAGTCATTCCACTTCAAATCAATGGAAAACTTGAGGTCAAGAAGACGCAGTGTATTGCTTTCCTGGAGTCTAGTATCAGCCATGATGATGATAAGCAGAAAAGGTTATCTGTGATGGTTAAATGAGAGCTGTTCTATTTTGGAGTCGTTAATCTCGAATAAGCAATATTTCTATCTAAAATTTAAATAATCTACTTGTAATTATTCTTGTTATAAAAAAACAACACGGATAAAATTAAGATAAAAACTAAAATTAAAACAAAAACGAAGAAAAAACTCACCCGAAAATCGATGGCTTTATCTGAAAGAAGAAGAATTATTTTTAAGAATTTATATTCCAAAATAGAGTGATCAGAGGAATGACAAATATAACCGCATGTAGACTAGATTATATTTACCATTCGTGTATATTTGTGACTAACCTGTTTTCAACGTTTAACGTGTGTAGTAGTGAGTTAACTGAGACGTATTTCATTTCACAATGGCTGGATATTCATATCGTGAGCAGGTAGATATGATTTTTACATACAGCCGCACGAATAATAATGGACTCGAGGCTGCAGAGCCGTATCAGATTGCGTATCCAGACCGAAGGCAACCGAGTCATCCAACTTTTACTGCTTATCGTCGCGTTGCTGGGAAAGGATCCGTGGCATCACAAACTATAGATCGGGGAAGACCGATATCCGCTTGTACGCCTGACCACGAAGACCACATTCTACAGGCTGTAGGAGACGATCCTGGCACCGGCACACGTCAAGTGGGTCTAACATGTCGTATATTTCATAGTACCACATAGAGGGTACTTCAAGAGCAGCCCCTGTATCCGTATCATTTGAAACTTTCGACCTGTGATCACTCACCACGGAAGAACTTTTGCCGATGGTTTATTGCACAAAATGCCGATCCGTTGCTTGTCCCTTCAGTCTTGTTTACGGACGAGGCAACATTTGGAAGAGATGAAAGAACAAACTTAAACAACCAACATCATGGTAGCCAATGAAACTTCGCGTCTCCGCACCATATTTACTGTCAGTATTTGCTTCCATAGCTTTTTTGGATATGGCCACAATATGTGTAAAAAAGTAGCCAGAAACGCTTGGGACAATACGAACATTTCTTTCCGTCCTCACAACCAGCAAACAAAAAAATGTAAGAATGTTGTAGAATAAAAATTAGTCAATTTAACGTTGTCTTATCCAACGAAACATTTCAAAACAAAGGCTGCAGCAGAAATATACTTTAAATATATATATATATATATATATATATATATATATATATATATATATATATATATGCATAGACATTAACCAGACTAGACGATGTCATCCTCCGCTTTGAATTTTCAGACACCCCAACCTTACCCTGACTTGACCACTTTATGTAACTGAGATATTGATACAAATTATTAACCCTTGCGCCCCACTTTTTTTTTATAATAGCTCTAGCCGTTACCATAGTAATTTAAATTTTAATAATGAATATGCTTATAAAATGTGTAAATTTCAAGAATTAGTTATTCCCAAAAAAAATTTGCTTGAAGATGGAACAGAGCTTAGTACTTTAATTCAATTTAATTCAAATAATTATATTGAAGTTTTCAGCTCTTGTTTTAAAACATGAAAACTCTTGTGGTGATGGAATCATATTTTAAATAAATAATTATATATATATAGATATATAGATATATATATATATGGTAAAGGTAACAAATCCGTTGGTATATAATCCAAGTAAGATAAAATATTAAAACTGATCCACGAAAAGAGGTCAATGTATTTATTATTACAGAGCAAATATTTAATAAACAATAAAATCCAGTATAACCCCAAATTAATGTCATAAGGTTAATTTTATAAAACTTCTTTCCTTTAAGACAATAACTTTCCACCCTCCCCTAGACCCTGTCTCGTGCCTTTGGTCTGAATTAAACATTGCAATGGATAAATTCTGTAGCAATTTTTCGACAGGTAGATTTTTTTTAGCTTTTACAGCTAAATTTCTGTTTCTGACACAAACGAAGTCCACACCGTAGTTGATAAGACAGATGACCAATATTTTCGTCTGCGGAAATAGGTTATTCCCCATATGAGGTGATTTGGGATTTTATTGTTTATTAATTATATATATATATATATATATATATATATATATATATATATATATATTGTGTCACTTAAAATATGTACTCGCTCTAAAGATAACTATAACTGCAGTGGTTGTTGACTTACAAACAGGATTAATGTTTAAAATCAAGAAATATTAAGGTTTATTGACTTACAAAGAAGATTAAAGGATTAAATTAAATTTTAAAAGCAAAAAGTTCATGTTATAGGAAATCAAAAAGTGAGTACATTTTTGGGACAACCTATATATATATATATATATATATATATATATATATATATATACAGTCAACGACAAAATTATTCTTTTTATCCATCAATTTTGAATATTTTTATCCCTTTCTCAGAATCTAATGCGCGTATGATGCTAGGCTTTTTATATGTTAATAAGCACAGAAAAAAAAGGAATATATAATTCAGTTTTCAGAACAATAAGTTAAATACAACAATTCCGAGCCATTATCCATTCCACCCCTAGCATTTCCCAGGTTAGAGCACCTGATATTCACAAACTGGTCACTTATCTAGGCAATAACCAGACTCGACACTGATTCTACGTGGGTCACATTTATTTATACATATACGCATATGTGAATAATCAATTTACATTCCCACTGCAATGGATGATCCAACAGATAGGAGGACAGAGCAATAGATTCATGCTAAAATGCAAAGTTTCAGGAAGGACACAACTTGGCAATAAATCAAAACAGGGTTATTTTATTTAATTTCATTATACATTAGCATGAAGATTAAAAGAGACTGAGATAGATAGATAGATAGATAGATAGATAGATAGATAGATAGATAGATAGATATGAACAGATTGAGATAGATAAATAGATAGATAGATGTGAACAGATTGAGATAGATAGATAAATAGATAGATTTTTTGTATGTTAATAAATACAAAAAAGAAAACAAAACTCAATTTTCAAAATAATAGGGTTAAACAAATTTGACAGGTGATTTATGCAAAATAGAAAAAGACAAAATTATTTGTATTGTAAAATAATATCGTTTTAAAGTGATTGAGTCATGTAAGTATAAATAGTTTACAGAATTATTTCATGGATGAATCCTTCTAGACTATATATTCAGTAGAATATTTGTGATAATTCCGGTAAAGAACATCACGTGGTGCATAGAGTGTCGCCATTGTTATTCTTACGTTAACAACACGATGGGGAAGACAAAGGAGCTTAGCGTTGACTTGAGACAGAGAATGATTAACTTCCACAAGTTGGGAAATACTTACAGCACTATTTCAAACCGGTTAGCTATCCCTAGATCTACGGTACAGTCTATTATAAAGATGTTAAAAAGTTTGGCACGGCGTAGAAGAAAACCCAAATCGCCACCGAGAACTGCACGAAAATTGTTTGGCGAGGTTAATATAAACTCAAGAATTGTTTTGAAAGACATCGCCAAAAGTTTGGATACAATTGGCCTCAGCGTAAATATTCACACAATATAAGGTTGTTTAAATAGAAATGGGTTGTATGTGTTAGACATTTTCATGACGGTCGTCCTCGAGTATAGAATCCAGAGGTTGGCAGTGAATATTTCGGAGACGGTAGGAAATCGTAGTGCAGGTTCGCAGTGGATATCGTAGCAAGCTAGCAGAGCGTGGTTCTTCCGTCTGTCCTGTTCGCCGGACAAGTTGCCTCTGGTAAAACAAAGATGGCCGCCTTTATACACGACGGATACAGCGTTGGGCGGCTTCCGATTGGTCAACCTTCAATTGGTCGACTATAAAGGGAAATAAGTCATTTTGACTCGCTCACTAGTTATATACGGAATAGACCCAAAAAAACCGTAACAGTATGGAAACTGACCACGACGAACCACTCTTCACAAACAATGTCACATGCTCGGTTTAATTTTTGCCAAAATGTTCTTGGACAAAGAAAATTGCTTTTGGGAACAAGTACTATGGAATGATGAAACAAAAATTGAGTTTTTTTGGACATAATGATATACAGAATATTTAGAGCAAGAAAGGTGAGATTTTCCTCCCAAAGAACATAGTGGCAACATTAAAACATGGAGGCGGCTCGATGATGTTTTGGGGTTGTTTTAACTCAAGGGAAACTGGACCATTAATTGCAATAAGAGGAATAATGAAATCTGCAAACTATATCAAAATTCTCGATGAAAATCTACAACTAGGTTGGCGATTTCCTCTCAAGTAAGATAATGATCCCAAACATACTTCTAAATCAGTAATTGTGTGGCTTCAGAAAAAGAAGATTACATTTCTGCCATGGCCTTCAATGAGTCCTGACTTAAATCCTATTGAAAATTTATGGCAAGAATTGAAATTTCAAACAATCGTCGTTCACTAATAAACGTCCAGGACTTGGAACGTGTAACCATTAAAGAATGGAAGAAAATTCCAGAAAAGACTTGTTCAAATCTCATCAAAAACTTTAAAAAACGATTGCAGCAACTTATAAAAATGAGAAGCCATGCTATTGACTATTAATACTGTGAAAATTGTTCAATTTTTTCTATTTTTCATACTGTAAGAATAATTTTGTCATTTCCTATTTTGCATAATTCAAATTTGTCAAATTTGTTGTATTTAACTTATTGTTCTGAAAATTGAGTTTTAGATTCATTTTTTGTGCTTATTAAGATATAAAAATTTTACATCATACGGGCATTAGATTCCGAGAAATAGATAAAAATATTCAAAATTGGTGGGTGTCCAAAAATTAACACAAGTATCTGCACTATTGACAAGTCCATATAAATAGTCAAGAGAAAATAAAGACAAAAACTATCCAACATTTGGGTGTTTCTTTGTTATATTCGTCGTCGATCTAAGTTTTCGGATCACATGAATCAAAACCAGAGTGATTTTATGGACAGTACAACAGAGATGTTCACCGTCAAATATGACATCCAGTTTTGTTTAGATAGAAGTTTGCTATGCGAGGATAACGGTTGCGGAATAGAAGATGCAGGTCGTAAATTCGTAATGCGGTTCTATGATGTCATACATGACCACATGAGAAAGAAATGTAGTCAACACACACACACACACACACACACACACACACATATATATATATATATATATATATATATATATATATATATATATATATATATATAAATACCATCTAAATAGGTCAAGGTTCGGCCCTCCTCTTACCCTAATATAAAGCATGCTTAAGAGAGATATGAAATTGACCCCTCCCTATACTCTACCTTGTCTCTTTAACTACAACTGTCACCCCCTGTTAAATTACAAAGATTACACTACCCATCAATTTCTCATCCCATTTTTCCTTTCATTTCGTTGTTGAAATTGTTACCTGATGATCCGGAGTTCTTTAAAAAGGATTTTGGTGAAATAAATTATTGTAATGGTACCTTAAAGTGGTCTGTTTTTCATTAAATATTAGCTCTGTATTCACATTGAGCTCTCAAGATTTCATCCTCCTTGGAATTACCCATTCGGTTTACCAAGTTCTTCGTAACTTAACTATATATATATATATATATATATATATTAAACAGGTTCATAAAAATGGATTTTTCTTTAACTGTAGTATTTTTGTAAATTAGATTTTATTAATTTTAGCTAAATTTTTGTTTATATACAAGCCTAGAAACCGCGGAGAAATAATAAAATTATTTAATCTTTATTCAACACCTTAGTTCGGCATAATCTTTCTTCGTATACGCAACCGATCTACGTAGTTTGTTTACATTTATTTTGCGCGCAATTTTTATATTCTTTTAAAATCACCATTCTTTATGATCCCTTCACATAAAGTCACTCTAAAAAGACATTGGGGGACCCAAACTATGTAATATCACGAATACGTCACAGTACGCGTGCTAGAAAAAGAAAAAAAAAACATGAGCAACGTACCGTGCCCCAGTTAAGTTTTAATTACGATTTAATTAGACGATATCAATTGCAATTGCGATGAAAAGCGAAATTAAAGATAAAAATTTAATAAAGAATTATTTTTTAAAACTTTTCGATATTTAAATTTAACTTTAAATGTGTTATTTGATTTTTTTATCGCGTGTTACTACAGTAGTTACTACCTGTTACTTGGGCGCCTCGGCGTGGTGTAATGATTAGCAAGCTGGTCTCTCTAAAACAGTTACGACTGAATAGTGAGTTCGATCCTCACTGGGTGCCCCATACATTTGCTCATGTGCCACATCTAAACCACGCTTAGAAAATCAATACTACCTGTTACTTCAGGTTGTTTATGATTCGCAGAGTTCGAAAGACGGACGGACAGACGGACGTACACTGCGCTTTATTTATATAGATGCAATTGGTTTCAGATATTTTACATTCCACATTGTTTCAGGTGCCAGTTTAGTAAGAACAGGTGATGGATACAGAGAAGCACATCATTAATAAGCGTTTTCCAAAATGTCTTAACCCTTTTACCGTTCCTGAATCAGTAGTGAATGATACTCACCTCCGTAAGGATGCTGCAGATATAACGGATCTACTGTCAACGCATAGGTCAGTGTTTTACTATCTGCGACCCTAGAATTTGAAATGAAAAATTATTTGGAATTTGGAATTTACAATCAGACAATTATTTAATTATTTCTTAAATAGAGGATAACAAGTGATTGAAAAAATGGGTTTCATACGATAATGCTCAACTCAAAAAGGCAAGTGGATTGACAAGGACAAATTTCAACGAAATCTGTGCTCCACAGAAGAAAAGTAATGTTGTACGTGTGTTGAGATCGTAATGTTATTGCGCATTTCAGTTTGTTATGTGCCATGCATGATACACGCTTAGCCGATCATTTACGCTATGAACCTATCTCTTACACTGTACAATGTATTTGCCAAGTTTGGTCAAAATCGGTTGGATGGATCCCGAATGAAAATGTATCACACACACACACACACACACACACACACATATATATATATATATATATGATTACATGAATCATTGATATAAAAAACAAATATAGAGGTTAATGATTTAAATGGCGAGAATACATCTTCGCAAACAATTTCAATAAGGTACACTAACCCCGAACGGATGATATGATCCCTGTTTATAAATTCCAGTTGCATAAGGTCTTTTTAGTTTTTTTAAGCTTTCGTCTGTTCCTACAGACATCCTCAGGTATGGAAATAGATTTGTTCTTGTTTTTTACTTCTCGGTGAATGATTCATGTAATTATAAATTGAACTGCACCTATAATCGATATATATATATATATATATATATATATATATATATATATATATATATATATATATATATGAATTTTATTTACACCATTGGCGGCAACATTTTTATTTGCATAAATCAATTATGTGCTATGCGTGATAGACGCTTAGACGATCATGTATTTTTCGATACATGACTGACGAAGCAGATTTTTTCCGCGCAGTAGGTCGCCATTTCTTTCTGCGGTAGACCAGTTGCTTCCAAGGCTATAGGTCTGTCCTGCTATTTACCCATACCTGGAAGAAGAGAAGAGAAGAGAATTCATACCTTTCCGAAGGTTATTATCACATAAGTGAATGTAATGGATTCGATTGGAATTCGAACTCGGCTCTCCGATTCCTTAATCCGAGCCGCTAATCCATAAAACGTTCTTAAAACGCAGCGAAAGATTAAATGCGTATTTATACATACAGCAGCCCAGTACTCGTTAGTAAGAAAAACGCACTAACTAAATAAAATGGTGATTGATGATTATTATATTAACTACTAATCAAAACTGGTCTGCAATAACATACGACAACGTTTTAAGCATAAGGCAGTTAACTCCCAAGAAAAAATCTCTAAAACCGACCACAAAAGATGAACTCTTTGACAGAAAGGTAATGGTTGTGTGTGTGGTGATATCACCGACGTATTATTCATTTAGATTTCTTAAAACGCAACGGGGCACTAAATGCACATTT